ACGCCACGATCTCCAGCGTCGGCACCACCACGCGGTCTCCCTGTCCCTGGCCCGGCGTCTGCCTGGTCTTGACGTTGCTCACCAGCGCGACGCAGACGGCGTCCAGGTTCCGCGGCGACGCGGCGCAAAAGTCGGCCAGCGCCGCGCGGGAGGCGATGACCAGGTCCTCGTTGCCCGTGTCGGCCGACGTGACGTAGCCCGCCAGCAGCTCCGCCATCCAGGCCCCCGCGTCGGCCCGGGCCGGCTCCGCGATGGGCGGCTGCAGGCTGTTCTCTGTCGCGTAGAGGTTGAGGAGGGTTTGGAAGTAGGTTTTTGAGGAAAAGGTGAGCTTTGTAAAGGTTGTTGCAAAGCTAGTGTATGCGTGTTCTTTGTTAGTTGGGGGCCATTTTTTTTTTTTCCTCGCCGTTCATGAGACGACTGTCAAAGGTGATCAAGGGGGAAAGGGGTGGGGAGAGGGGTATTCCTTACCTAGGCTCAACAGTCAGAGCAAGGACCGCGTGCGCTTCAGTCCGTACGCGATCCAGCTTCTCGGCAGCTAGACGCAGCGTCCGAAGGAACAGCTTCGAGACCGCCGCGGGAAGCCATTCCATCTTGTGATCATTGTTTCCCCTGATGACAGAATGAGAGCCATCCACGCCAAGAGCCATAGTCCACAATGACCTAGTCGCCTTGAGCGCCTCCAACCTGACGTGCGATCCGACGTCGCCCCTCGCGTTCGTCGTGTAGTCGTTCAGGCCCTCCGCCAGCAGGTCGAGGAACACGAGCGCCTGGTCCCGCAGCAGACCGCTCTGCGAGAGGGCCTGCAGGATCGCCACGCGCGTGTCAATGTCGTTGTCGCCGGCCCACCGAGTGAGGATGGTGTCGCAAACGATGCTGCTGCTGCTGCCGCCGCCGCCGCCAAACGTAGTCGTGACTGGGTACGCCATCGTCAGCGCATAGAGCGTGCCCGTGTCGCTGGCCGCGCGCGACGTGGGCCGCTGCCGCACGGCGCCGGCCCATTCCGTGACGATGAGCGTGCGCTCTTTTGCGGGGGAGAAGACGAGGAGGACGAGCGCCGCTTCCGAGGCTGCGGCGACGGCCTCCTTTTCTGTGCGGGCGAGGCCTGCGCTGACGATGGGGGTAAAAGTTGAGACCAAGCTCGTTACACCGTCGGAGATTATGTTGGTCTCCTGGGCGTTGTCGATCGTCTTGACGGCATGGAGTAGATTTTCGGTGTTATCTGTTGAGACGACCCTGTAGCCTGGCTCTAGGTTTATGATTGAGCCTTTGGGAGATGAAGTAGCTTGTAGGATAGGGAATGACGAAGTGATTAAACGGCTGTACGCTTCGGCAACTAGCTCGGGTCGACGATACGTCGTTGTCTGGAATTCCTTGAAGAGCGCTTCCAGTTCGCGGACGATGCGGTGAGCGATCCCAGTGACGCTATCGACCGGCTTGCCGGCGAGCAGCTCAGGGAACTTATCCAGGACGGACGCGAGGCAGAGCACGAGACCGTGTCTTTCGTCAACTTGGCGCGTCTGGAGCGTACGTAGGCGTGCGAGCACCCTGTCGATGGACGCCGTGAACTGAGCAACGTCGTCGTTCCCAGACTCGCCAGACGGAGACGATGAAGGCCCGGCTCCGGCCTGCCGCGCGAGCTCCAGTGTGAGCGTACCAAACGACGCGCCAGCCACGCGCCGCGAGACGACATCGGCGTCGCCTATGCCTCGCCAGCCGAGCAGGCCGTCTAGAAGAGCGGCGCCGTACTGCGACGAAAGCTTGGTGGCGCTGAGCGCGACGTCGTGCACCGCGCGCGAGCGCAGGGCGACGGTGTGATAGTCTACAGCCTGCACGACCCAGATGCCCTTTTCGACGGTATCCGGGTGCCGACCAATGAGCTCCTGCAAGGCGGCCGAGGCGCCGCGGCGGATGTTGCCTGCCGGGTCGAGGGAGGCTGTCACGGTGAGTTCGGTGGCGAGGACTTGTAGAATGGAGACGTTGGATGCGGCGCGATGGTAGCTGCGTGCCGCGACGACGGCGGCGGTAGGGACGTCGAGGAGTTCCGGGGTTGTGTAGCGGCGGGCAAGGGCCCAGATGCCGAAGCAGGCTGCGTCGCGGACGTTTGTGCCGATGGAACCGCCCGAGGTGCTGCGTTTCTCAAACGAGAGGCCGAGGAGGAGGCCGTGGACGATGGCGGGGAGTTGAGATGCGGGTGGAGAGCGGCGGTAGAGGAGATGGGAGAGGGTGAGCATTAGGCCGTGCCATTCTAGGGGGTCGACGGCTGTGAGGTCGCGCGTGGTGGTGGCAGAAGAGGCTCCTTTGGGTGTTCCCGGGTCGCGCGTCCAAAAGACGTTGCGGTTGAGGGAGTCCAGAACGGCGTCAACAACTTGAGAGGCCATGTCCGGGTCGAGCTTGAGGGTGACGATGCTGAGGGCTTTAGAGGCGGCCAAGCGGACGGGGGTGTCGTTGTCGGCGAGGGATTCTAGGAGGTAACCTATGGACATTTCGACTAGTTCGTCGGTGCTCTGCTCATCTGACGGGGACCTGTTGCTGCGTAGGAGGAGGACGGTGACGGAGCGGATGACTTTGATAAGCATCTTGCGCGCTACGGCGACGGAACGGATGGCGGTCGAGACAGACGGGGTGGCCGTCGCCGTGGTCGTGGTGTTCTGGGCGTCTTCAGCGGAGGCGACTGCATGTGCGGTGAGGAAGATGGGCGAGAGGTAGGCGTCCATATCGGAGGTGTTTATGGACGAGCGGAGGACGCCGGCGAGAAAGGAGAGGACGCCGATGTAGAAGTAGGGCGGCTGCGGCGGTGTCGGTGTCGCGGCATCGGAAGATGATGAAGGTTTCAGGGAGGCGAGAGACCAGTGGACGAGGGCGGAGAGGACGCCTTGGGATTGCATGTCGCGGCGCATGGCGATGCGGACGAGCAGGGCGCGGGCGCCATCGCGCTCTTTGCCGGAAGTGGCGAGGTACTTGATAGCGAGGGGTAGAATGCGGACGGTGATTCCGGGAAGGTCATCGGGCCAATCGAAGTCTGGGATCGTGGGGAGGGTGAGGTCCGGGTCGGCGGAGGAGATGGTTGAGAGGTCAAAAGGGGCGAGGAGGAGGTGTGAGAGCCATAGGAGGACGAGGTAGCGCTCTTCCCAGAACCATTGTGCTGTGGCACCCGATGAGGATGTCGCCGCTGCGGAGGATGACTGGGGCGAAGAAAGGGGGTTGAGCGCAGGGCGTGCGGTTGACGAGGCGCGCTCTGAGGCTTCAAGGGCCGAGAGAAGGGGCTCGATGTGGCGGGACTCGACGTTGAGGAAGCGAACGATGACCTTTTCGCCGCGGATCTTGGTGAAGGTGTAGATGATTTTGGCGATGGCGAGGTTCAAGGGTTCCAGGAGCTGTGACCGGGTTGAAGCTGATGGCCGGGCCCGGACCCTGGGGCGGGTGTTGAGGTGCTCTAGATACGTTGACGCCAGGAGTGGGAGCCATTCTGGGAGATGAGGATCCAGTAGCTGAGGCAGTTCTTGGAATGGGTCAAGTAGCTACAAGACGTGTCAGTACTATGTGTTGAATGTGTTTTGATGTAGAGAAATATGAGATTGAGTGCAGGGGTATCTACGTTTGAAGTCAGACGTGAGGTCTCTGACACCCTGACGCGGGCGCGGAGGGTCTTGCCATCAGGCTTGCGAAGGAAGAGCGGAAGCGAGCGAGAGAACTCTGCAATGAGCTCTGATGAGGCCTTTTGCAACTTGATGTCGCTATCGTCTTCGTGGGCGTCCATGTTGGCTGACCGCCGGTGGTCGAAATATGTTGAGAGGTTCGTAGATGATTGGCCAGGCTTTCATTCCATGTCTTGTAACGGGTGAGATGCCCGTAGATCCCAGGATGCTGAGTTCAAGACTTTGATCTTAACTCCAGCGGTGGGATTCCTGTTTCGATCTTCAGTTTATCTGAGTGAGGAACGTTACGCACCAGACTTTGGATGAGAAATTGATCTGATGAATGAGTGAGGTTGAAGATGTGGATACCTCGAATTCAGGCAGTCAAGTTGACACAGTGCCGGTCACTTATGTACCCACGTCATACACACTGTACATAACCGGGAATTGTTCCCTCTCAACTGCAACGTCCAGTTCCATTGCTCTTGGTGCTTCTTCCTTATCCCATCGTCAATTCAACTACCATTAATAACAGCTTCTATTCAGGACCACCTTTTGCACTTGATTGTGACAATTCTCCAGTCAGACTACCCTTGCCATACTATTTGCATCCAATCCCTAGCGTCTCTTGCGAATTCACGACAGACTCAGCGGGTAAAGAGGCGGTCTGCGTACATGGTGTCCGTCGACACCTGTGTTTGATCCGAGACAAAAAGCATTCTGCCAGATATCTGAAAACAAATATAGCCATATCGCACAATGAATCAAGAATCAAATCAATCGTCTACCGCAAATGGATCTACGAAACGAAGCATACAATTCGACGACAACCCACCCCCAAAACACCGCCAGCTCCATCATCCAACCCTCATCCACTCGAATGACACTGTTCCCTGCACCGCGTGCAAAAATGCTTTCAGCAAAGACGCAGTCAAGGCAGATGACTTCCGTCGCAGACGGCGCAATCAGCATCACGAGTCATCCGAACATCTCGCCGAGGCAGTCGAAAGAGGATGCTATTTTTGTAAACGCTTTGCGCGTCACTCTACGGACCCGAGCATTTCGACTGTGCTGAACGAGGATCTCATTCTTCATCCGAGACCCGATCCCGTGAGACTGTTCTTCGCCAGTTCTGAATGGCATACGGGACGCGCGTGGAGAGAGGATGATCTGGATGACTTGGTTTGTTTCAATCTCCTCAAGCGTAGCCCCGGTGAGTTACACTAACACGATTGGAATCCAGTACGGGGACTCGGAGCTCGGTAGCTTACTCCTGGTGCTACTAGAATGACTGATGAGATAGTAGACGACGAGCCACCTGCGCGGTTGAGCCCACGTATGGACTCGCAAGAAATCTTTGGGACGATGATCAAGTGGCTCAACGACTGTGTTCGAAACCACCCCGAATGCAGAGTCTTCTACAGCCATTCGACTTGGCTACCTTCAAGGCTAATTGATGTTGGAGATCCCGGCAGTTCCTCGTGGAGGATCATCACCCCCGAGTTGCATAAGACTCCTCCCAATTATAGAGGCTACCTCACGCTGAGTCACCGCTGGGGCTCTTCGCCGTTCGTACAGCTCACATCGGACACACTTCCAGGGTTTCGAAATTACACAACTATCGATCATCTTCCCAAGACTTTCCGCGATGCAATTGCTTTGGCTCATCACTTCAATGTTCGCCACATCTGGATCGACTCGCTATGCATCCTTCAAGATAGCCCATTAGACTGGAAGAGAGAGTCTTCCAGAATGGACGATGTCTACTCCAATTCCACCTGCAACATCATTGCGGCACACTCCGAGGGGCCCGACGGTGGGCTCTTTAGGGTGAGAGACCCATCCGTCTTGGAATCGTTTGTAGTTTACTCAGAGAGGACGGATATCCCGTCTGGCGAATACACCGTCTGGGATCACACGTCCATCCTGAACGATTACAACAGAGCTCCGCTGTACAAACGCGGTTGGGTCTTCCAAGAGCGCTTACTGCCAAAAAGGAGTCTTCATTTCGGGAAAGACCAAGTCTTCTGGAAATGTAGACGGGGCCTTGCCTGTGAGAGCTTGCCCGGCGGCATACCGGTGGCACCAGACAACGACGTGGTCGAGCGTGAGAAAGGCGTCGCCCGAATTCGCAAAATGCGGCCCCAAGACGAAGAGGATTCACCAGAGGATGACAAAACGTTTGCAACTGTCTGGGAGCACCTGGTTGAGGAGTACTCGGGCTGTAGCTTGACCTACGAAAAGGACAAGCTCGCGGCCTTGAATGGAATGACAGGCATCTTTTCTGTTGCCTCTTTGAGTCGATGTATTTCCGGTATCTGGAACACACACATCGCCCGACAAATCTGCTGGAGCTTGAACCCTGCCGCGGAAAAGAAGTCTCGACCTGCTCATCCCGCGCCATCTTGGTCCTGGGCTTCCGTGCAAGGCCAGGTCTCGTTCAAGGCCATCGTGAATAGCGATGAGAGCATCTTGTATCTTGCGCGTCATTTCTACCATAGCGCCCACAGCGATACTCCCGCAGGACGCCACATACCACTCGGAGGCTATGTCGGCATGCGCGGCAGCGTTTATACTCTCCACATGTTGGACATGTCCAACGACGGGGTTTCACTGAGCCTTGATGGAAGGTCCGAGCGACTGGACTACAACCCTTTCGTCTTTGACTTTTCTCGGGATGATTTATGTCCCATGGAGGTGGTCATCTTACCACTGATGTGTACCAGGGAACCTCCCGTCAACGCAAAGGGCGTCGAGATTGCCGGCCTGATATTGCATCCTTTGGGTCACATCGTCGAAGACTACGGAGACAAGGTGTTTCGAAGGTCCTATAGGTACGAACGTGTGGGGTTCTTCAATTTCAGGCCATATGACGGGAAAGGACAACAATTGCTCTACGGGTCACCGTTCACTGAGGCAGAGAAAATCAAAGGCCCATACAACAGCAATCACCGTATACTTTTAGAGTAGCCCCTCTTTGGTAATGATAACAGGCCATCAACATCTGCGATTTACGAGTGTATATGATCTTATCTATAGAGCTTAAGTCTAAGTAAGAAAAACTCTTCTTTTAGTTTATAAATATTACGAGTTTATGTAAGCTACAATCGAGCCTATGGTACTCTAGTTATATTCCGCCGTAGGTAGCGCGAGATCTCTCCTCTGGTGGGGTGCTAGATAACACTGTCCATTCAAAGATGCTAGAGTATAAAGGGAGGTTTACAGAAGAAGCGATGGCTTATCGGGGGGTCTTAGACGATAGTTTACCGATTATATCTTTATAATAGTAGAGTTTTAGGGATAGATTATTTTAAGTAGCTTACCTCGAGTAAAAGTTTTTAGGCTAGATAAGGAGATGAGGACGGAGACGCTTGAGTCGTTTGGGATTATGAAGGAGATTGAAGAGTATATTAGCCACGGGCTATGAAGCAATCAGATGTGTGGCTCACTGCTCCGAGTTACGCTCCGTACATAGTATCCTGAAAGTTCTACCCCGGGGAAGACTTTGCTAGAATCATAGCACAGCTCAGATTCATAGGATAAGAGAAAATCTATGGAGAGATTAGAGACTACGTAAAGTTCGAGTCAAACACGAGCTGGTCAAAACTTCCCAGCCAGTCGATGCTAATATCCAGTCGTTCATCATCCATTCGTTCATCATCCAAGTAGATTTGAAGAGCGATTGTGTGCCGAAGATGCGTTACTAGTTTGATGTGAACAGATCATGATCATGGTTGATCCAAACTATATCACATCTTACTCAATATACTATACTTGGTTTATTTATACCACCCGCAACCCTACTAGACACCATGGTGTGTACCACAATCGAGAAACAACGCTGGCAGACCCTCCCTCTTCTCTAAAACGTCAGGTGACGATGGAGATGAATCGAGTATTGAGATTCTGTCAACTACTGTCATACACGTTCTAGGAGCTCTTAAACCGGATTGTGGTCTCGGTGGTCATTCTCGTTCGTTGCTGGGCGTCGCTAGAAGACCATGAGCATGGAAAGATTGGGGAAGTCGTGGACGAGACACTCTGTGAGCTGGACATCAAGTAAATCACACAGTATCGAAGGAAGAAGCTTCAATCAGCAGCCAGTGGCTATTCACATTGTTTTGACACCCGAAAACGCATCAACATCTTCCATCGCTAGCCAACACGGAGGTATTGGCTTGCAACCGTTTCCCCTTGCTGCTGCAGCAAACTTGTGATACAGGCTGTAGATGTCAAGTCCCATGCATGCATCATCTGGCAGGTTATAAACCGAATACATGAGGATAGTTCAAAGGCTCAGAGCCGACCAATGAGCAATGTTTGGTTCTACAACGATCGTCTTCAGGCATCATCACCAACTCCATCACCATCTCCTGTCCCTTTCGTGTTTGTCAGCCAACCATAAGGAAGCGGGCAAGATTCACTAAGAAAAGAATTTGGGCGTCCATGGAAACATGCTCAGTCCCGGGGCGTCGACATCAGCGTGACATCAACGTCTCCCCAAAACTTGTCTCGAAAATTCTCCGTGATTCCTGCGCATCAAGAAGGGCGGGAAGCAAAGCAAGGGTCCCGCCTTTTTTTCTCTTGTTATTTTACCCCTCTTCCCCATTTTCCTGCGACACGATACAATAACATACAACGACCATGCATTAGCATGAACCTATTGATCCCAAGTTTCCCAACTGGTTCCAATCGGAGGTTTTTTCTTCCACCAAGACATGAAGGGGATAGGAGGACCGATGAACGGTGAGCCGTTGAACAGGAACCTACCCGCAACCCAAACCCCGGCCAAAGTATTCCCACGCCTTCTCTTCGTGGCCATGGTAAGGAAAAGAGAAACTCTGTAGCACGGCGAGCATGCTCGCCGTGTACCTGCCAGCCGTCTTTTCGGGATGCTTGTCCCGCTGTGCTGCTTTTACCCCTCCCTCAATCTCACCAGAAACTGGGACGAACATGGACAAGGGACGGCCGAGTGCGTGTGCGATATCGAATAGCCGCACTTATATCAAATCATCGTCGTCGTCATGCTCACCCTCCCTCCCGTAGAAAGTCATGTACAAGTCATTCATGTTCTTTGATATGCTTGCAAGCGGAACAGGAAAAAAACCGTATACTGTGTGGTACAAGTACAGTCGATCTATATCATAAGCAGATCCCATATGTCCCATAATTCAGACATCCTTCCCCCATAACTCCCGGTAAACCTGCTTCTCTTTATATTCCCGAAAGCGGATACCTCTGTCCCCAGTATTCCTGTTGGTCGTCTTATCGTTTCTGTGTGTGTATATATATAAACCTGTTGCCATTGTTGCCTTGTCATTCGTGTGTTTTCCCACCCCCCTCTTGTTCGTTACCATTTCCCACCTTATCATCATTCATGTTTGTTTTCTTGGCGTTTCTAAGTCATCATCGTTTCGCCACGACTTCGTCCATTTCCCTCCTCTTGAAACTCCAGTAATTTCCTCACTGGTCATCAAAGATGCGTTACTCAGCTCGACCGTTCGTTTCGTCATTGACATCAAGTGTCAGGTAAAGAAAGAGATGTGAAAAGGAACGTAACACCGACTTCAGTGGCCAGGAATCAGCGACAAGTTCGAATCGTACGCCGAGCGCAGTCCGTTGTCCAATAGAGTGGACGTTTTCCCATCATGTCGCTCCCGAGCCGAGGTGACGAATGGAATGGGCGCTGGGAGGGGGAGAAGAAGAGAAGGGAAACCCGATGAGAGTGAGAGCAAAGAAAGAAAGAATGAAGAAAAGAGAGAGTCCATGTCGGACAGAACGGGAGAGACGGGCGTCAAAAGTCCTCATCCATCAAACACCGATACCAGAAGAAGGCACAGCACGCAAACACCCAGAGGGCACGCATGCTATGCCCGCCCGCGATCTGCGCCATATCGATTTGTCCATGAGGATGGCCCGCCCTGGCTCTCGCTGCCGCCTCCTCCCGCCTCCGCTCCTCGTCCGCGAACCTCACACGACCATACGGATCCTGCGATGGGGCGTACGTCGGTGGCGGATGCCGCACTTGCTGCTGCGAGGGCTGCCGCTTCACAAACTCCTCGGTCCCGGCGACGGCCGTGGCGTCCGTCCCCGCCGTGTTAGCGGTGCCCGCGGTGCCCGCCGTCCCCGGCGCCTGCGGCGTCACCATCTCCATCATGGGGATACGCCGCGGCTGTTGCGCCGTGTATGGGGTCGGCGTCGGTTGACGTGGTAGCGGCGGTGGGTGCGTTGGTGGTGCTGCTGCCCCTCCATCTCCGGCGCCAGTTGGAACCGAGCCTCGGGCCCCTCCTCCCCCGCCCCCGCCTCCTCCTCCTCCGTCTGATGAGGAAGAATAGGACGAATAGTTGGAATAGATGGAAAAGGAGCTACGGTGAGGGTGTTGTCGACCAAGGACGCCAGAGCTTGCTCGGACACTGGCTCGTTCGCTGTTGCGGACTCGTCCGTTGTAGTTGAACTCCCGAACAGGGCGCTCGCCGCCGTTGTTGAGGGTCGTCGACTCGGCTGCTCCTACTCCTTGCGCAAGACCTCCCAGTCCTGTTACGCCTAGCGGTCGTTGCTGTCGCTGCTGCTGCTGTTGCACCTCCTGCACCTGTTGGTTATGTTGCTTCTGCAGCTCCTGAAGCTCCTGCAGCTGCAGAGCCGGACGCTCCATTTCCGGCGGGGAGTATACTTTGGAGGATAACATCATTGATGGGGGTATATGTGATCCAAGGGGAGAAGGAGGAATAAGGTCGCCGCAGGCCTTTGTCAAAGGACAGCTATTGGCGACTTACCCTTTTCTTTGATAGGGTAGGGTAAACGCGTACGTTGGGCCGCAAAGGTCAAAGTGACGTCGAAGGGGGGATGGAGGGGGGAAGCGAATCTGTATCAAACAACCGAACTGGAGCCTCTACTGACTCGGCACCAGATGACGCTCAGGGCAGGATGCACTCAACGTCCAGCTTTCTCCGACGAGGTATGACGAGCACGATGCATCTCGCACTTGCGCGTATGTATGCGGAGGCCCCGGATAATCATGGGCGGGGGGACTTCTTCGTTGTCGAACTCCAGAGAACGATAGACGAACCGGCGAAGACGGAGTGTTTGGTGACAACGCATACACGCGGGGGTTGGTGAAAGTAAAGGTAGGGCTGGTGATGGTGGCTAACACGACCGAAGCTCCCGTCGAAAGTGTGAACGACGTGCCCGCGCATACCGAACCCATCTTCACCCGTCCCCATCCAGCCACTCCCGCCTTTCCGTCCATACTTTCTTCTGCCTCCCCCTCTGCTGAGCCTCACTTGGGACGCTGGTTGGGCGGGCGGTGCACGGTGAAGCATTGAGACAGCCCCCCTTCCCCCCCTCCTCTCTAACCTTTGAACGAAACCCCCAGATTGACTTTGGACTTGCTTGGCTCAAGCTTTACCCTCGCAGCCTTGGCCCGCGGTTCTGAGGCGGGATTATGTTTCTTGCGGTCTCCTCGACTTGCCCCTCCCTCCCACCATCCAAGGCGTGTAAAAGGGGCGGCTGAGCATTACCCGTACGTCATTGGGATGAATAAGAAAGACGGGAAGAAAGGCAAGGACCGTAAGGTGAAGAGTCTTGGAGTCCAAGTGGCATCCCAAGGGTCCGAGGGTCCCAGCTGGTTTGCACGCAGCGTAGCGTCCATTGTCTCAATGATACCATTCATAGTTTGACGTGCCGTTTCTCGGCTGCGTCTACGGTAGGTCCAGGGAGGGAGGTAAGATAATAGTCGCAGTAGTAACTAGCATCCCGTTCCCGTGTGCGTGCTTGTATATCATGGATATGTGTTAATTGTAACAGCATGTATGTATATGCATGCCTTACCCGTGATGTGTATATGTGTAAGATCATCACGGCAACACAGCACAGAGATATACGAGAAAAGGAAGAGGGAAAAGGCCTACATCCTTGCCATACTAAACGAAAAAGAACGGCATTAATGAAAGGGTCTTGGCTGACTGGAGATT